ATATTTGGTTTTTCAAAGTACTTCTTTCATTTGTTTGATACAAGACATTTCGTTTTCTATAATAATTTTGATGGCAATTCATTTATGAAGTTCAATCTGATGTCCCCTGAACTTCACTGACTTCATTAAACTCCTAATGCTTGGTGTTTGATGCTTTTTTCCAAGTCATTTCACGTTGTAGTAATGCACTTTGTCACCATGTTCTTTGAGCAAAACATGACTTTAAGCGTCTTAAAAACGATGAAGACAATCACAAAATAAGGATATATATATGTTTTAAACAAATGTTATTATAGAATTCATGATAAACCAACATTTATTTTATTTCCTAACTAATCGACATTAGAAAAAACTTCTCAAAAAATGATAGAATAAATGAGAAAAGGGAGGGAATGAACACAATGAATTTCACGTGAAAACTCCCTCTCCAGTCAACTTTCACTGATGAATAATCCACACTTATAAACAGCATCTGGGAGAAGAGAAAGTTGATTCCCATAAAATTCGAATTGTTTTATTGTTATTACTCTATAAATGAGAAGAAATTTTCCATTTAGTTTATCTATCAGTAGACATTAAAATATAATAATAAGAGATTAATGGCTTCAAAAGTCAATATCGATTCTAAGGATATAAAAACTAGAAGGTAGTCGAAAAATGTCAGCATTATTGATCACATCGATTAAGGGTATCATTCTGTTTTAAAGACTCTAGACAGAACGACATGGAATCTGTTGGTATTAGATGGTTAGAGGCAATTGGCAGGAAGCCTTGTTTGAACCCAGGTTTCGTGGTAGTTGGCACTCACCAGTCAGGAAGGCATATCTGCAACTGTCTCGAATGAACTCATGTCCCTTCTGAGATTCGAATCCGCGTCACCCAGTGATCGCTGAAGACAGAGACGTTACTATTGATTGAATTCAGTTTGCACCAAAGAAAGGACTAGATACATCACACTAGTTACTAGTGTCCAATCAAATTATCCAATACAGTTTTACAGGAGGGGAATCGGGAGCCCGAAGAGCTCAGTTGTAGCGTCTCTGACTGCAGAGCTCACTGGGTGACACGGTTTCGATTCTCATAAGGGGCATGAGTTCCTTCGAGGTTGCAGATACGCCTTGCTGATAAGTGCCAACTAGCACGAAACCTAGGTCCAAGCAAGGCTTCCTTCCGATTGCCTCCAACCATATAATACCAACAATTCACAGTGCACCGTGATGGCGAGCCACCTAGGGGCATGGTGGCCACATTGCAAGCTTGACTGATAGAATTCAGTCGGCACCTAAGACAGGACCCAACACACACATTACACTAGTTACTGACTAGTGTCCAATCAAAAAATCGATATGGAATCTTTTCTTCCATGCATTTCCATTGTGATGGGGACATTTATCTTGAAGATTCAAACCTTTTCAGTGGTAGTGGTATTGCATTTTGCGGGGTTGGGTTGTTGGCCTCATGTTCGACCATGCCTATTTTTTGAGCTCACTATCGACCAGTACATTTTAAATATGTGTCTGCTTGGAATGGGATTAGGTCTAAAGCGGGCGGCTGGTGAGCATTGTGACAGAAGTTTTGATATCTGGTATAAAATACCTGATAGGGTTAGGGATGGTAGGTAATTTGTGTGACTTAGTAACAAGAAACGCCCTAGACTGATTTCTGGATTACTGAATGATGAGAATTTAAGGTACTACTTTCAATTAATCAACGCTGATATTATTTACTGTTAATTTTGGAGAAATCATTAAAGTCAGAATAAGGTTAAAGGATTACTAGGTTTAAGCTGTTTGATCGAAACTAAATGCATTTGTAGAGGAATTTTTTTTCCTTCACTTCCCCCAGTGGAACATAGGGTGGCTTCAAGCTAGTAGCTTGAAGTTTCTGTAGCAGCGTTTATTTTATAGGATGGGGTTGCTAACCTCATGCCCAACCTTTCCTCTTCACCAGCATTATTTCTGGCTTAGTGAGGTATAGGAGTGCATCGGCCGGGGATCGAACCCCGGACCATGTGTATGGTCGGTGAGCGTCCTAACCGCTATGCCACCGACCCACTTGTAGAGGAATAGTTGTTTGTAAAGTCCTTCCTCAATGACCTTATCACAATATTCATACTTATTTGGATGTTTCAGTTTTTCTCCTGTGCTCTATATCAATGTTCTAAAATTTGCATATCATACTTTGACTCGATCCTTGATATTTGTCCATGCTCCTGTTCAGTCTCTATTTCTGAAGCTTCTGTTTGTCGATGTGATATACACTGATAATGTGTTGTTTTGTGATGTAATTTTGTTTGAGTGGATTGAGGTCATCGTGACCTTGTGGACGGCGTTTTGATGCCCCCCCACGTTGTTGGGAATATTCTACTTGATTCTAGTGGGACGTCTTACAGTTGAATTTGCGTAAACTAAATTCGTTCTACAGTACTTGTTTTGTACTTAGAATGTTCTCCTGCCTGTATAGCTGCCTATCAACACTGTTGAGGTAATTCTGAGCTTTGATATTATTATTGTTACTGAATAAAACCACAGATTCCAGAAAAGAATAATTGTCTTTTTGTTAACTTTGGAGTGTTTTGGGACTGTACATGTCTCAAGGAGGTTTTGTCATCTATACTATAGAACTCAAAGATAGCCCCCTGCCTTCGGAACACAATGAGCCGGTTGTAGTCGTTACACTATCGTCCACAGTTTTTAACTCAAGATTAGCTCACTATCATATGATTTCGCGTCAGTGGTTCAGTGGTCGAACACTCGCCTACCTAGCAAGTGGTCCGGCATTCGACTTTCAGCCGACACACTCCTAAACGTTGGTTAACCGGTAGTAAGCCCGGTAAAGAAGGAAGGTAGGGTGTGAGGCTAGCAACCTCATCCCGCAAAAAAACAGTCACTGCTACTGAAACTTCAAAGCTCTGGCTTGAAGCCTTTTGTTCTGTTGGGAACGCGAAGGAAGCGGCTGATCTTCTAAATCAGTAGGTGGAAGACCTAGCTAAGGACTTGGTGTGGTGTGGTGTGGTGAACCGACAGTTACATATCAATCATTCACCTGATAGCTAGACATTACACGTCATGTTTGCACTGCAGTGATGAATTGGCCAGCCTTTAGGCCTCCTGGCTCAACTGCTAGTGTCCCAGAGAAGGTGATTCCGAGGTATCTGGTGCCAGACACCTTCTAACATAGTCTGCAACATAAGTAACATTCTTCTAACTTAAGGCTAGCGCACAGACTCTTAACATGAATTCGAAAATTGATTACATCACTGAAATTAGCAGTTTGACAGAGGTGGGCGAAGGGGCAAGAGCAAAGTCAAATTTTGATTATTCCGTGTTCATTAGAATTTTTAATAACATATCAAAATGGATGTCGTAGAATTCTAGGTCAGATAATAGTGTATTAATATCTAGAAATCAGTACAGTCATAATGATCAACTGATTTTAAGGGGAGAAGAGTTGAAGTCAAAAATAATATTAGTGAATTATACCCTCATTCAGTCAGCTGACTAAGTTAATCGAACCCGATTAGCCTTGAAACGAGGGGATTTTTCAAAAACACTATGACCCTTACTTTAGGTTTCTCTAATTAGGTGCAAGCAACAACCCATACAGTATGGTCTTAGTGTTGGCAATGCTCTACATTAGTCTTCCATAGATGTCCTTGTTTTTCTGTTCTAATGTCTATTCGTTATATATATATATATATATACGAGGTCGCCTTGTAACCAGAAGGACCTGGGTTCGAATCCCAGTGGGTGCGTACTGCTGAAGAGTCCCAAACTAGGACGGAGGAAACAGCTGTCCAGTACTCTCAGCTGGTTTTCCAGAGGTTCTCTAACTGATGTCAGCTCATGATGAAATCCTCCATACAATCAAACAAAATCCCTACAAAACCAATACTTGAGAATATATATATATCAAATGTTAAGGCCTAGTAGCTGGTATATTCACTACAGAACAGTATTCAAATTTAATACTTGTTGTTGGTAACATTCATGAAAATACACGTTCGACAACTCGGTAGACTAATTCAGAATGAATTATGACAATGATAATCACCTATATCTGTACATAGTATTTCCACTTTTTCATTTATTTACAGTTCGTGATGTCTGCTGCCAAATAAACTAACTTTTCATCCATACCAGAGTAGCAATACCTTGTGGAACTCGGTATGGCGGCCGTACTCAGGGTTTGCTAATCAAACGTATCACTGGACTCTTATCCTGATAAGGGGGAAAAGAGATCCCCCCTTAGCTCTATTCTGGAACTCTTGATGGACACCGAGCGAACCATCAATCCAACTTCAAAGTCCTTTACAGAATACACAGAAATCTTGCTAAATGAGTGCGAATCAAGTTCTTCAAACCACAGAATCCACACTCGAAATCTTGAAATCTATATACCAGAGTTGGTTGAATCACTGAACTTACAATGGATCTTAGCTGTCTTAACACCGAGAACAGTTGTACAGCTTAAGAATGATGCCACAGAAAAGTGTAATTCTTCTGTGAATACCTTTCTTTTCATATGACTCAATGTGGATTTTTCATTCTCCTAAACGTCGCAAGTACCTTCTGACAGTGAAGGAACTGGACAGTTTTCTAAGTTACTCTGTCAGGCTTGCAGTAACAAAGACAAAGGGGAACTCTAAATGCGTGCTGTTCACTGCCAATTTATAGAAATCAATAATGAACTGATTAAATTCCACTTCAAATCCTACCAAATTTACCTGGTAGTCAACTGTTTAATGATTCTCACGATCTACATAAACGTAAAGAATGTTAGAACAAAAGAAAAAAACTCCGATCGTTTACTGTCAGTAGAAGAAATAAAACACCATTTTGTCTATCAAAAACTAATTCTTCTTCTACCTGGTCAATAGATTGATTAACTACTCTACAGATCAATAAAGAATGCAATAAAAAATCTGTAAATAAATTCTCTTCTTCCTAATATATATGTTCAAGGTGTTCAGTGGTCATTGTTCATTTGTGAATAATTCAATGTACAATCCAGTAAGGCATAATATTTATGAAAATATTGAGAAGTATTTGCCTATACCATATCAATTGGATGAACCAATCAATTTTAGTGAGCGTAATAAGTCGAATCGGTATGGAATTGTAACGAAAGACTGTTCAACAAAGATAAAACAAGTGAGTGCATTGATGTTTAGCATTAAATTTGCTTCATATGTCATGTTGCCATGTCTTAAGTGTACTCTAGTATTAGGTGACGCGTTTCGCGTGTAATAATGATTAATATATCTAGATACTGCTTTCATCGATGGGGCAGTTCTATCAGTTAGATGTGCAATAAGATCATTCAGCTTTTATTCATCAGGAAAAGGCTTCTTTGCTAAACCCGTACTGATAAAGAGTCCCAAACTAGGACGAAACAGCTATCCAGTACTTCCAGCTGGTTTTCCAATGCTTCTCTAACTGATGTCAGCTCATTATGAAGTGCTCCAACCAATTAAACTAAATCCCTACAAAAATCAATACTTGAGATTATCCTTAAGAATTTTTCAGATGAGGGAATTTATATTTTTAAAGACTACGTCACAATGGAAACTTGTTTCTCTTTTGAATTCAGATAGTGGCAGACACTACCTCATTGGAATGTAATAACGAGCTTAGGCGTAAAAATTGACAACCACGTCTGGATGTCGTCTAAGCTACCGGTTGCATGAAATTCTTTGTTTTAAGGGTACCCGGTTAGGTCCATAGCATCCCGAATAATCCACTTTTTATTTAGCCAAGTTAAACTTTAAGCACCACAAAATACCAATGGAGTGTGACCACACCAATAACCTTGAAACACTCACCGAGCAGGTCAGTGACACCTAATAAATAATAGTGTAATCGTGAATAAAATATACTTAATGAAGTACTATGTTATTCAGTGGGATATCTGGTAAGTTCCGGATTACGTTAGGGATTGATTAAGTTAGGGAGACGTTAGGGTTAGGTTAACCTAACAAGGACGACATCAGAGTTGGTTTGACTTAGAATAGGGTTAGTTTGGGGATATTTCCACGTTAGGGTTAAGTTAAGGAAAGATTAGAGTTATTGTTCTGGTTAGAAGACCGAGATAAATGCATCCATAGGCTGTGGTAAAATTATTCTGAGAAAGATACTCTGTGTAACACTTAAGTGCCCCTCAATTCATTATTTTCATGAATATATGCATTATGTAATCAAAAACCGCCTTTATCATGTGGTTGTTGCGTTCAAGGTCATTTATCCGTTGATACTCACTGGTGCTTAAAGTTTAACTTTGCCTTTTATTTGACGGTGTTGTGAAGCAAACAAGCTACATGAATTCTTATAAAACATAAAATAATTGAACAAAGAATATCCTTCTCGATAATTTTCTCTTCCAGCTGTACACTTATGTGTATATATGTTTATGTACATGGAATATTCTAGATTAGTAGTCATTAACAATATTAGTGTTTTTTTAAATAATATCGATTTGTAAAGTAAGATCGATGCAATTACAGTTCATTAAAGATGCTTAAAGTATAATAATAATAAAGATATAATAGCAAATAGAATATCAAATAAAATTAAGGAAATTTCTACAACAAAAAATTGAGGATCATTCGAACCTAGATGGCCAGCGGGGTAACGACAATGTCTGAACTAGCTTCTTTTGAAGACATAAATTAGGCTTGTTAATATGGATCCCAACATCCAGCCTCAGTAATATTTAGTAGACGAACTCTTTAGGCGAAGTTAAGATTTGTTGGTATGCTTCCGGAGTTATTAACCTGATACCAACAAATCTTAACTTCGCCAAAAGAGTCCGGCTAGCTGTTGAGATATACATTAAGAAGCTGGTTCAAAAATTGTCCTTACGCCGCTGGCCATCTAGGTTAGAATGATCCTCAATGTTTGTAGAAATTTCTCGAATTTTACTTGATATTCTATTTGCTATTACATTATTACTATTATTATAATTTCAGCATCTTTAATGAACTGCATTTCCATTGATCTTACTTTATAAACCGATATTATTTTAAAAACCACTAATATTGTTATTGACTACTAATCTAGAATATTCTATGTATATAAACATAGATACATATAATTGTAGAGCTAGGAAAAGAAATTATCGAAAACGATATTCTTTGCTCAATTATTTTGTGTTTTATAGATGTCTGAATGAATATTTTCGCAATAATTCATGTGTTTTTAATACAAAATATCAGTGAGTTTAGTCAGAGGCGGTGTTCATTTCAACTGCTTTCATCTTGGTTTGCTGACTTTGTTCACAGCTTATTCGATTTCGTATTCAGAAATGACCTCGTTCAGTAGGTTATTTTAGTTTTTGACACATTCAGTATCTGTTTCTAGGTGTGTTGGTGTTTCTCTAGGGATATCTTCGTAAAATTCCTGAATTGAACTTCTTATGCCATCAGTTTTAAATCGTACAGCCACACGAAGCTCCAAAGAGAGCAAAAGGACGACTGTTCGTGGTTGGGACATTTGTGTGGCTCTGTTCATCAGTGATAAAAACAAAACTCAAAATAACGTCAACGGGGCTAGATAATTTTCTAGTACTGTAGTTATAACTTCCAAGATGTATGAATAATGTAATTAGACTGTTCAGGAGGGATTTTCCAAACAATTTTTCTACTGAACCGTATTCAAACATTTTTATGTAATGGTAATCAGGCTTTTTGCTGATGACTGCCTAGTGAATTGATGATCGAAGTCAGTGTTGGAGATGGAGTTGCCTGGGATTCAAACCAGCCTCTCATAAACACCTGGTTCAGTGTTTCACTGAGTGATTAAAAGACCTAATTGCTAATCACATCTAAGTTGTGCTTCAACTATCAATGCGTTTCATTCTACTTTCATGTGAACAAGCGACAAGTAAATTTTTGTCCGTCAAATTTACACTGGCTGACTGAACAAATCATTTGATTCCAGGTAAAATGTATTTATTTAGGCAGTTAATCACTCTTAGTAGCATGGTCGGTGGCACAGCGGTCTGGATCCTCCTTGACCATGCACATAGCCTGGGGTTCGATTCCTGGCCACTGACGCACTCCCTTACCTCGCTAAGCCAATAATAAGATTGGTAAAGAGGGAAGGTTGGGCATGAGGCTAGCAACTCCATCCTGTAAAAATATTCACCTGCGCTACAGAAACTTCATGCCTCTAGCTTGAAGCCACCCTATGTTCCACTGGGAACGTAAAGGAATTAAAAGAAAGTATCATGGATATGTCAGATAGTCATACTTTCGATTTTTCGTCACTAATTTAGTTGATCAAATCGTCTGTTGATGATGAAGTTCAAATTTTAATGTTTGATGCGTCTAGTCCTCTCTTTGGTGCAGACTGAATTCTATCAGTCAGGTTTGCAATGTGGCCACCATTCTAGGTAGCTCGCCATCACGGTGTACATTGTTTGTGATGATATTAGATGGTTGGGGGCAATCGGCAGAAAGCCTTGGACCTAGGTTTCGTGTTAGTCAACACTTACCAGTCAGCAAGGCGTATCTGCAACCTTGAAGGAACTCATGTCCATTCTGAGATTCGAACCCGCGTCACCCAGTGAGCTCTGTAGTCAGAGACGTTACCACTGAGCTATTCGGGCTCGCGATTAACCTCCAACCTGACTGATAGAATTCAGTCTGCACCAAAGAGAGGACTAAACGCATCACACTAGTTGCTAGTGTCAAATCAAAATATCCACTAAAGTCCTACAGGAGGTCAATCGCGAGCCCGAATAGCTCAGTGGTAACGTCTCTGACTACAGAGCTCACTGGGTGACGCGGGTTCGAATCTCAGAAGGGACATGAGTTCCTTCAAGGTTGCAGATACGCCTTGCTGACTGGTGAGTGCCAACTAGCACTAAACCTAGGTCCAAGGGTTTCTGCCGATTGCCTCCAACCATCTAATATCATCACTGAATTTTTGTATTTGACAAATTTTTCATCATTATTTTTTCTTACATCTTCGATATTCAGCTGGTTAGTACACCTAGAGGAGTTCGAAGGTATATGAAACCACCACCAGTAAGCAGAGAAATGATACAGTACCAAGTACCAGAGAAACTTCAACACGATTCAGTAGACAAAACAAAATCAGAAATGAGAGTCAATCCAAAATCGTTGAATGGAGAAAATGTTATTCATTCTACACTACCAAAGTCAAAACCAGATCCAGGAACTTCTGAAATAGTCAGGCAATCGTAAGTATTCTGTCCAGTGTAATGTTTTGATATTGTTAACATAACTACATAAAAACTGATCAGAGTTGACCAATGCACAAAAGTGAAATATTAAAAGGGTGTGAATATGTGTTATATTGTAGTATTAGGGGTTTTGATGTATTTGATTTGATTTGGTTAAGTGTTCATGTCTATAAGTATAAGAAGCTGAAGAGAATTTGTGGAGAAAAGAGCATTTTTCGTCCAGACCTACTGTCAAGGAACTTAGCCCTAAGTTCCTGTCGTAATGAAGACTTAAGCGATTGAGCCGATAAATACTATGTACTTTCTTCAACTTTAAATCCAAAACACCAGTATTCCTTGAACGAAATTATATTGTTTGGCAATTAAATTGAAGAAAACTACAAAGTCTACAAACAAATGTTTAGTACAAATGAAGTTATAAAGTACTTTTATTCGTATTTAACTCCAGTCTTCCTTCAACTTGCAAGCGATCGACCATTCGCGCCTTTCAGTTGCCCATTAATGACTGCCAGATCAAATAAAACAAACGTTCAATGTTCACGTCCATTGACACCTACTTTTAATAACAGTAGTGATAATAATAATAATAATAATAAAGACGAAACAGCTGCTGCAAAAATTTCCACATGGATGTGGAGCGTCAGACAAAATCTTGCTAGAAATCCACGACTCCATAAAATATGAGTTGAACAAAATAGACAGAAGAATGCAGTACAGAAATTACAAAGAACTGGGCAGATAGAAGGTAGATTGTAATAATATCATTTAGAAAATTAAGGGACCAGAAGAAAGTAATGAAACATCAGAGGTTTGTGCATCCTTAGTGCATTACTGTCCACGTATCTGCGATAGACACAGTCAGATGAGTAAATCTAGTGACATCTGTTCAAAGAAGGTGAAATATGGTGTGCATTCAAGGACACAACAGAGATTGTACTTTATGCATATATATAATGGAGGTTTGTAGCTCAGGTGGATGGTTCTGATGTAACTGTGTTCTCTGAACAAAGAAAGAAGAAACATTGGTGCAGAACAATCTGGATCCATTTTACTTCGTTGGTTCTCATCAGCTGCGTACAACCTGAATTTTTTATTTAAAAATAAAAAGTATACAATTTTAACAAACCTTTGTCCATTAGCAAGCATAGTGTCAGAGTGTCATAATAAAATAATGCATTGAGATTTACAGGGTGTCTAAAGTGTCACGACATATATATATCTTGGTAGAGAGTTAACAGTTGTGTTGTTAAGGTCATAACGAAAGACAATTAGCAATAGTTACGCAATTAGATAAGAGAAGATCAAAATTTTAAAATTACGGTGCACATGAGAAGTTGATGATGTAATACAGTGAGCAGAACTCAGAAAATCGAGAAAAATTATCTCTTAAGAGAGTCAAGCGAAACATAAAGGGAAGGGTGGAGTGAAAATATAAGTTAACAAAATTAGAAAACAAAGAGTTACTAAGAAGTGAGTAACCAGGGTAATTGAAATCCAACAACGAATTCTTTTTGGACACATAAGTCAGGCTTCAATCGTTTTATTGCTATAGCTTCGGCAAACCTGAGAAGACTTGAGGTACTTTGTCTGTTAATTATTTTGAATGATTCCAGCACATCTACTCGGTGTCCTTTGTCACTCAGATGTTTGGCGATTGAAGAGCTTAGATAATTCTGTCCCTTTAACCGGAGGCTCCTTGGTACATATTCGCAGAATCTGACGTAGGCCCTCCTCTCTGTTCTTCCAACGTAACTGCTCCCGCAGATACATGTGAATTTGTATACACAGTTGGAGGTAACATGTGAGGGGTAATTGTCAATCTTTGACTGCACCAGTGAAGAGGTTGTTCGGGATAGAGAGACTAATAGCACTGCAGGATACGTCCTAGACAGGGCTGCGCTTAATCTTTTATTTATCATTCTCATAATGTCGTCGCCCTTGTAGTCGATTTTGATGAAAATAGGCTTCTTACTGACTGTAGCAGTATCAAGCTTCTTGAGTTCATTCTTGCCATACTTGTTAATGAAACTTTGTGGGTAACCATTTTCTTTCAAGCATTTTTCAAGAAACATTAGTTCACTGTCTAGTTTGTTTGGTGAACATATTCTCTTCGCTCTAGAGAAAAGCGTTTTCACCAGCTTTCGTTTGTATCTCACCGGGCAGAAGCTGTTGAAATTCAAGTAAAGACCACTCCATGTGTCTTTACGGTATACAGATCTTTCGAGTGTTCCGTCGTATTTTCTCTCCAACATTATGTGTTCTCTGAGATGGATTGTTTACCTGCGGAGCTTGTACTGCCTTCCTAGGCAATATCTTCAGCGCATGCTTCAATTTGGGCTCACTTCAAATTGATGTGTACATCGAAGGTGTTGCCTAGTACGGCAGTGAAGTAAACCTTCCAACTGAGATAACACAACTACATCAATATATATAAGCACATATTAACTAGTGGAATAAATTTCATGAATAATCCCCATCCAGACCTTAATTAAAAACAAAACACGTAGTTCAGCGAAGAGTCTCTTTTCAGCAACGAATTCATTCGCACTTACCTGTACAATCGCAATTATATACACGTATTTTTGTATGCATTTTCTGTGTACATCATGTGTTTCCATTAAGAATAAAAATCAGTTAGCGTTAATGTTGTCAAGACATTTCAAAAATGTGCTGAGTAATCAAACTGTAACTAGATGTTGGGGGGGTGTGAAGATCGGTAAGAGGGTAGTGATGATGTTTTGTCAAAAAACATAGTTTTTTTAATATTAATCAACACGTCAGTGGCACAGTGGTTAGGACTCTCGCCGACCATGAACATGGTCCGGGTTTCGATACCCTGCTGATGCACACCTGATATCAATGGTCGGCCTGCAAAATTTGGGCTACCGACATACCATGCTGAAAATTCCATACTTGTAAGAAAAATACTGTGTGGTTTCAAGCTTTAATCAAAAATAATAAAATAAAAGAATTTGAATAAGCTTAATACAGTTACGTAATAGGATGAATAGTTTAATTGGTGAGTGAGTTGTGATTAGGATGCACATAGAAACAAAGGAAAATATAGAATTGTGTAAGAGTTCCAAGAATTACAAATGTTATAAGGAGTTAGAAAACAACAAACAAGCACACAAACACCAACCAAGTCAGTAGAAGTCAACATACTCACGAAGCATGCTATTTGTTTTCGTTACAATAATGGCCATTTATGCGGCGGATACATTTTTACGTAGAATAACAGATTAGTTAGTATGTATAGGGTGTCAAAATAAATAGTCGTATTTGTGTGACAAACGGGCTAGGCTGAATTCAGTTAGGAAATATTGTGAAATGGAAGACAATGGTGGGGATTAGTCACAATAGATTTGTAGAATGTGGGGTAGGAAGAACTGAAAAGTCAGTTCAAGGTTATAAAATGTGTCATATGAGAGGCTAGTACAAAGTATGTATTAAAGAGGAGTTTGCAAGACTGCAATGAGAGGTTCATAATGAAATAACGAATATGTGAAATGAAACAGGTGGAGGCATATATTGAGAAAAGACATATTATCATTAATAATGAGTCCGGATAGTATATAAAATTCGATAGTATTGAGAGGACGTTTGCATGAAGGGCATAAATTATGACGAATAATAATAATAATTGTAAAAATGTATCCGCCGCATAACTGGCCATTATTGTGACGACAACAAATATTATATTTTATAATTGTAAGAACCTGAAGAGAAATTATTACAAAGAATATTCTTCGTTCAGATTGACTTTTAATATACATAATTGCTACTGTACAGGTGAATGAATGAATTCTCCGAAAACAGACTCTTCGCTGAACTACGTACTTTCTTTTTCATTAATGTCTTGAATTAATTTCACACAGTGGACAGATGAGTAAAGCATGACATTTGTCATTGAATAATGTACCCAGATAGATTTAAAGGGGATTATTTGAACGTGTACTTTTCTATGAGTAATCGATATAGGCTTAACCTAGAATGGAAGCGCTTTTATTGCACACAATGAAAAGTTTTACAAATACAAAATGTATGACTTATTAAATGCTGAAGAAAGCAAAATTATTCAGTCAATTAAAATTAAAAAAAAGGGAATGAATCGTTTAAGACGCTCTTTGAACCATAAAATCAATAAGCACAAAACTAAGAAGTGTAAAAGCAGGTATTTAAAGAGGCCTCTAAGAATAGATTTTCATTAAATCGTTTCAAAAGACCAATGGAGTTAAATTTGATTATGAGATATTGACAGTCAGTTGACTGGAAATGACTAAGCCCCTAGGCAGCTTCTCTGAGATGTGTTGTCTGGAACGACACCGAATCATCGGTACTAGAGGAAGCCACAATGGCGAAAACATCTAATGAAGATGCCAATCTTCACCATTATATCAGATTAGGTATTGTTTTTTATTCCTTACGTTCCAGCTGGAACATGAAGCTTTAGACTTTGGATTTCGATTAGTAGTGGTTTTGTTTTTACTTGTTGAGATTGTTAGCTTGACACCAAAGCTTCGTTCGTTTTCGGACTTACTTCCAACTAATAAAGTAGGCAAGGTATAAGACCACCTTGACCGGAAATCGATATCGAATCACATTCGTGAGTGGCAAGCATTCTACCGGTGAACCACCAACGGATCCAAAAATGAATAACAAGTAGTCTTGGTGTACGTGTGTGTGTGTGTGTCAAAGTTGGGCTGTAAGTGGAATATTTATGTGTGATGTTATTAATGTGGAAGATCGTGAATTACAAAGTGACTGAACATCGAATCATGGTGGGTACGTACTACTGAAGAGTCCCAAATTAGGACGAAACAGCTGTCCCGTACTCCCAGGTTTTCCAATGGTTCTTTAACTAATGTCAGCTCATGATGAAAAATAGAATTTTCGAATGTGATAACACAAAGGGAAATAAGACAAGACAATATTAGACAATAATGGACTAAAGAAGAATGAAACAGATCGAACAAAGTGCTTTTGTACGTAAAGTT